TTCCTGAGTTGTGTGATCGCTCCTCCGTGCACCCCAGTTTCCCTGCTCTAAGGCCGCAGGCACCTTTTAGGCTGGCATCCACCTGCTGCACCCATTCTTTACTGTAATGTAGTTTCCTTTTTACCTTCTGTCTCTGCTGTTTTTCTGCCTAGTTCTACCCTTTCCCTCTCTTCCCCTTGCTCTTCAGTAACTTACTTTTCTTCTTTGTTTCCCTCTCACCCACTAGACTACCAGTAAATTGTAAATAAATTTCAATCTGAGAAGTTTGGCTTCCCTGTGGCTTAACTGTAGCTGTTACTATGTATTCAAGGATTGCCCAGTACAGAGCTGGGCACTAGGAGGGTTTATCTCTCAAATCACTGAGCACTGAGTGTGGCAGGAGTCAACTCTGGCCTCACTGATTTAAAAAAAAGCACTGATATGAATAAAAGTAATAACATCAACAATAACTGCTGACATTTCCTGAGAGCTTACTAGGTACCAGGTCCTAAACTGACCACTGTATAAGTATTTTCTCATTTAATCCTCACCACAACCCTGGGAAGCAGGTCCTGCTATTATCCCCATTGTACTAACGAGGAAACCGAGTCACAGTGAGTTCACAGGTCACCCAGCGGTGAGAAACACTCCACAGCTGCAGTCTAGCACTCAGTCCTAGGATCCAACTCAGGCTGGCATATCATGCAGAGGACTGGCTCGCCCACACAGCTGGGTATAACTGGACAGGTAAACACAGGTTGGGCCAGGGTTACCATAGCCAGAGCAGAGTGATCACAGGTGCCATGGAAGGGTTCGGTCTGAGAGCAGCAAACAGAGTTGAAGGTATACAGGTATAGGTAGTCCAAGTCAGTGAAAACGTAAGTGATGGGGGACCTGAATCAAGGTATGGCGATAAGATGAGTGGTCCATATGGTGATCAGAAGGAGAAGAGCAGAAGTGGGGTGTTCAGGAAAGGAGATGGGGTATCACAGATGCCCAGGGCTGGTCAGCATGGCCCAAACCACCAGCTGGAGTTTGGAGGGAGGAGGTTCAGCCAATGGGAAAGGCACTGACAGATCCTGGCAGGGCCAGAACTCAGGGGTCACATTGTGTACGGAGGCTCATAAACAAAGACAGATCCACCTCCCAGCCCTGGGGCACTGTGTCCAGATCAGACCAATAGAAAGAGTAGCTTTACTCTGCTGGAAAGGTGCTAAAGAGCCCTGAATATCACCTAAGGAGGCTCAGCTTCGTCTCAAACACCTGTGACTCACCTGGAGAGTCGCTCTATACACACGTGGCACCACCAGCCAGGTGACATCATATCTCCTTTTAAATAATCTCTCAAGAACCCATATGTGTAAATGGTCTTTTATGAAGAAAAGTGGGTGGATTCAACTTAATCCTAAACAAATGTCACTTTCACGTTCTGACTTGCTTTCTTGAACAAGAGAATAAGAGATACAGATGCAGCTGGCACATCTGGCTTCATCAAATGTGTGAGTGTGCCAAGCATGTTGATATCGGTTTACATATCACAATGAAGAGAAGACAGAAATCGTCATCAGAGGCAATGCAGGGTGGGTCTGGGGGTGTGCAGAGGTGGGGCAGGGGACACCTGCATTCTACTGTAAGCTCTTCTAGAATGTTAGAATTTTATTATTTTGTTATATGTGTTTGTGTGTGTGTGTGTACTGTAAACTTGAAAAGAACATATATGAAATTTGAATGTCAGTCCCATGCTACATTAAAAGGGGACAAGTAGGAAATCAAGGCAATCTAACTGGCAGATACAATAATTTTAAAAAGAAAAAGATTATTAGCCGGGGACCATTTAATGTGTGCATAAAAGGTTCATGTATCTCTCGGAAATCATTATACTCAGTGAGTGTTGGCCTTATGGAGTCAGTGGCGATACTGAGACTTCCAGGGAAGATTCCAGTGTCCCCGCCACACTCTGTTTAAGGAGGCAGGGGGCAAGGGAATATATTTTGGAACACTTTTTATCAAGAGAGCTAGAATCACAAGTGAAAGCAGGCATCGTTCTTATGTGCCTTTCCTTCATAGCACTTAAATTACAATAAATGTTTAAACATTTTTCTGCTTAAACCTGCCAAACTGTATGCCTGTGACAACACGGACCACATCTGTTTCATTTATCCCCACGTCCCTAGGAGGAAAATAACTTTCAGAGTTTCTCTGTCCTCAAGCCACTTGAGATGTTTAGTCTGCTCTAGGCCCAGAAGCCCTCAGGCCTGGTCCCAGGAGCAACCTGACTCTGCCTGACCTGGGAGGAGGGAGAAGGCGTGTCCTTGCTCCTGCCTCTGTCACTCAGGCCTCTGAGATGCTTTCCACCAAGTTCCACATAAAACTGAAGAACTTAATCCCCTGCCGTCATGCCTTAGCTCCATCTGGCTGCCGGAATAATTGAAACTAGAAATGTCTGCTTTGATTGCTGCTGAGGAGGAAAGCTTATATTTTAGTGGGAAACCTTAGTATATACTGCCTCAAACTTTAAATGTTGGTTATCTTGTGAAATTTGATTTCTATTCTCTCCAGTTTTCTAGACAGAGAACTAGAAAAAGGCCCTGAACAGATGCAGCAGTGTGGGAACCTGAGGACCCTGGTTCAGTCACAGCTTCCATGGGTGCCAGGGAGTCCTGCGAGGGGTAATGATCCTAGGGGGCTCCCGGCATCAGCCAGAGTCAGCTCCCCCAGAGGTGTGAAGATGGCCCAGCCCCATGAGAGCGTGGGCGGGGCCTTCAGCTGGGACCCCACTGTTCACAGGGGTTGGCCTCAGACTACCTGCACCTCAAGGTCATGGCCTGGACCTTAATTCTGCCTCTACTCTCCCTCCTCTACTCACTCCTTCCTCTTTTCCAGCTCCTCTGTCCTTCTCCCCTCCCCCCCCTTAGCCCCCTTCTTGCACAGCCCCTCAGTCTGTCCCTCTCTCTCTTTCCCTCTCTGCCCTCCTCCTCTCTCACTCAGCACCTTGCCCTCTCTCCTCCCCTTTCCCTTCTTTCTCTGCCTCTAACTTCAATGAAATAGATCAAATGTTCTGTCTACAGTAAGAGAATCAAAGGTTAGCCCCCTCCAGAGGCCTTTCCCATTACCTGAAGGCCAACAGTTCAGAATACAATAAATAGCTACTCATTTCACCCCCTGGGTGGAGAGAAGGGGCTACTCATGCCCAGAGGACACTCATTTGTGAAGAATCGGAGGTATTTTAAACAGGCTGTCTTTTCACTTCTGCCTTTTCCTTTCACATGCTAACACAGCTGCCTGACTGGCAGCTTTTTAACCCTGTTTTCCTTTCCCCTCTTAGAGAACAGAATTGAAAAGGGACTGAAGTGTTTACAGGAGCAGCAGTTGAAGCTCTAGAAATCATAGTGTTCACAGGAATGACTCAGGGCAGCTTAAGCCAGGTGTTTGAGGTCCTGAGCTGCCCACCCCACAACCCTCCCCCACCAAACCCAGCACACGTGGGCAAGACCCACTCTCCAGAACACAGGAAGTTTAAGCTCCGGGCACTTCACTTACTCTGGCTTTTCCAAGACCCTGGGAGGAGCCCTGACACCGTTCTCTCACGGCCCTATGTTTTTGCAAGATTTGCAAAAGGCATCTATTTTAACCGCAGCTGGGGCAAGCATTTTTCTGTCCACTGGACTTCCCCTCATCACACTTCTCTGGTCAGATGGCCCTGGAGTGGCCGTGGGCATCTGGGGAACTCCAACTAAGGGGAAGTTGAACTGGGAATGTGTTTAGTTCGCTTTGGTGGGATATGACTGGGTGTCCCCATAGTCACTTCTGTGCACGGGCAGGTCACTGCCGACCACCCCGGTGTGCAGAAACGACTTACGGAAATGGTGTTACAGGCCGAATCAGGTGAACGTGTCCCATGGCACCTGGCATCAGAAGTCTGTGGGCAGTGGAGGGAACACGAGGCTTGAAATGCTCTGAACCAGAAGCTAGTCTGTGGGAAATTCTTCCGATCCTGAGATGTGTGAAATGCTAAGCAAAGGATCCGTTCCCACGCCGCCGCCGCATCAGAGCAGAAGTTGAGGAATACATCCAGTAGTGCAGCATACATGCGGATGTTTCTGAGAGTTCTGTGAAATGAAATTTACCAGAAACCTCATATTACAGGGCATTTACCTATAGCAGGAAAACACACAGCAGGTCGGTCTGTCTGTGTGGAAGGAGGCATGCTTAGTACCTCCCAGCTATCAATAATTTGAATCAGTCTTGTTCACCGGAAGACGACCTATGATAATGATCATATAGAGCATCAAAGTATGCAGACAAAACTTACAGAGGAAAAAGGTTTTTTAGAGGTGTGTCAGGCAGTTAGTTACTTAGATTATATGTACAATATTTTCTGGGGTTTGAGATATCTGTTGTATTTGCCTGATTTTAAAAGTATATAATTTTTTGTAATTTATTTTCTAAAGTCATTGTCATACCTCATTTTGTATTTGTATTTTTGTATTAACACCCCCGCCCCCCCCCAAAAAAAATTGTATAAACCTCATGACCCACAAACCTGCATCCTCCCTACTGGCAGCTTCGGGGGGGGTTCTGGGCAAAGGATAAGGTTTTCTCTGTCCTGGAGAGCCACCTGCTCCAGCCTGGCCTCCCCCGCCATTCCCAGAGCAGTGTGGTCAGTAAGTCCTGCCTAGGAAGCAGGTTGCCTTTCCCTCCAGGATCCCTGTTTTCGGCTGCAGAGGCCTTTTTCCCCAAGGGCTCCTATCCCAGTTCTCAGGCTCTGGCTCTCGCTGGGAAAGATCGCGGCAAGAACAGCTGTTGGTGCTCCATTTCACCAGCTATGTGGAGGCCCAGCTGTGCAGTTCTCATTTTGCCATAAATCTGTTTGAAGTTCTTTTGATTCTGAGAGAAGTAGGTTGGTTTTCTGCCAAACCTTTCCTCTGATTTGTATTGTGTTTGGTTCAGGTGATCTGACACACAAGACTCTCTCATCTTGCCTTCAACAAAGCAATTACATTTTCTGTTTTCTTTAACAGAGTTGGTGTGGACCTGGATGAAAATCTGAAGGAGGAGCCCTCTTCACTCCAGGCAAGTCAAAGAAGCCAGTGCATAGAGTATATAGATATGAGATGTTCTGTTCAATGGAAATGTCCATGCTTGTCCAGTGTGTGGCCAAGAGGCTTGCTGTAAAGAGAGCTGCCTTTGCAGATAAAACTAATCAGATGACTACAAAATCCATTGAAATTCAGGTGTCAATAACCTCTGTGTAATCTTTGGAGTGCTTAGCACTAGCATACACTTACACCCTCTCTGTGGCAGCAGGAAGCCTGGAGACTGTAGTGGAGGCGCAAAAACGCAGCTTTTGGAATTAAGCAGCCTGCAGTTCACACCCCTGCCTGGGAACTTGCTAGCTAGGTAATCTCAGTGAAATTTACTCAGTGCACATCTGATGCATGTTGGGCACCCAATGAAAGGACCTGTTTCTCCTGCATGACTTCTCATTTATCAGGTCTAGGTGTACAGAAATATTGAACCTTTGCAAAAGCACAAAACTGTCTAGGTGAGCCATTCCTGAATTAGCTGAGCAATCATTATCTGCAAAGACCTGAAAATCCTCAGGGAAAATTGTTCAGAACTATATGCTCTTCCCTCAAGTAAGGCAAGTGTATTCTGTAAACTCTGGACTTGAACTTAACATCAGAGTGAAATATGCCATTGGCAATTTTGCTTTAGTCATTTTTAATTCAGTCCTTTAACAAATGTGGGAAATGTGGCAAGTATCCAGACATGATAGAGTAACACAGTAAATAAGGATGCTGCTGAAAGAATTGTGTTATGATCATGTCTGAATTTGAAGAGGACCCATCTCTCTTTTATTTCCTGGTTTTTCTCTTCAGTACCATCAAGAGGGCACAAGTGGTTAGTGCTACTGCTTTTCAGGTTCACACAGATGTAGAGAAGGAAGGATCCTGTGCTCTGCGAAAAGCGCTGGAAACTCAGTGAGAGATGATCCTGACTCACATGCACTTTGAATATTTTTGTCCCATGTGTTCCAAGGCCAGCCTGGTGCTGTTTTCACAGACTTCTTAGCCCAGGAAACACACCTAACTGCAGGACTGAGCACAGCCGGGGTGTCAGAGTCCTGGGATTCGGACCAGCCTGGTGACCTGAGAAAAGTGATCAAAGCCATCTTCTCACACTGGTGGGCTGATGAGGAGGTAGTGAGGGTTGATGGTAGTGGATGTTTACAAAGCATCATCGTCTCATATAGGTCAACCCATCTAGTCTTCTACTTTCAAGTAAAACTTTTATTTAAAAATATCCCTTCTCTTACATTGTTTTCTTTAAAATAAGAGAGAGATAAAGTAAGAAAATTAATCAAAGAAAATTCTTTATCTTCCTCTAATTGCCTAATATTTTACAATCACATGTAATTATTGGTAAGATTACCTACTAGCTTAACTCCTTTTACAATTTAAATGTATTTTATTTTAGCTCATTCACACCATTGTTAATTCAGTAATAACTCTTACATGAGGATACTTAAACCGGTAGAAAATCTTGTTGTTATTGTTGTTGTTGGAGAAATGAGATAGTGCAACATAGTACATTGAAAACTACATGATACTTGGATCTTAGGCAAGTTTTTTCATCTTTGAATCTCAGTTTCTGTGTACACTGTGAATGATAATGTCTATTTCTCCATGTTGTTATGACAATCAAGTGAAATTGCGTCTGTAAAAACTACCTAATAATTGTTAGGTAAATCTATCTTCTCTTATGAAGCATTTGAAGCAGCTAACACCACCATGTATAATAAAATAATAGTAAAATATTTTAAAGAATTTTAAAATTCAGTAAAAAAACAATAAGAGCAGAAAAACAAAACCAAAGGAGAAAAAACAATCATGAATAAGTAGATCATAAGATCCTATATACTTGTTATAGTTGAACCATGAGTAAGCTTTCAGGCAGCCAAAGTGGGGAGAAAAAGAAATAATAATCAGTAATATACTAAATTATTATCATTACAGGGGAAATTCATCCTTACTTCTCAAGTGATACAAAACTTCACAGGCCACTATATTTTAAAAGTAATGTCTCACTTGGGGCTTGCTGTACAGTACACATAAAGAGCTACCTAAATGTTAAAGAAATAATCTTATTCTAATTTGCATGGTTCCTAATGAACTGCTTAAAAATAATTTTATTTTTAAGAAATGTCCTGGAAGTGTTCTTACTCATGATAATGTTTGACTACAAAAGTAGCTACCTTTCAGAAAGAAATTTTCTTCACACCTTGGATTAATTCTTTTCTTCTGTGTCAAGTACAGGAAACTGGGCTCAGGCTGCAAATAACAAACCACAGTATCCATGCAGCTGCCACTCCATCGGGACAGTTTTTTTGTTTTAATTTTTTTGTTGTTTTATGTTTTTGGTTTTTCTTGGTACTTTGCAAACCATGTGGCAAGAACCTCACTGCCCTCACTTTGCCTGACAACTCATTGCTCATTATTATGTCTGGTGCTCTCTCTGACTACAGAGCGTAAACCCTGATGCTTAGGAGGATTGCATGCTTCCATTTGGTTTGCATGAACTAACAGGATAATCTGTTACCCTTCACACTGGTCAACGTTTTTTGTTTTTTTTTTAATCTTTTCCTACTTATCAAAAGCTAAAAATTTCATAGATAGTATGGCAATTACTGATCGTACTCTCTCAAAATCAATAATAAACATTTTTTTAAAAGGAATTTCCTCTTTCTCTATTATGGCAAGTAAAATAACCTTTGGGAAATATGGACTTGTACCTGTGACTAACAAGCAATGTCACCATTTTCCTTTTGGCCTTATAACGCCTTTAGAGTGTGAATGTATTACACTCTTACTTGTACCAGACCAGAAGCTTTAGAAAGCATGTTCCCCATGCAGCTATTAAACTTTAAATAGATACTCCATGTGAAGGTGCTACTTTGAGAAATGGAAGGTATCAGCTCTGAATTTTATGTCACACACACACACACACACACACACAGTCAAACCTCAGACATGACAACCCCACTCCAACCCTCACCCCCACCCTATACCCCCTAGGAAGCTGTCCTTGGAATTGATTCTGTGTCCTTGGAAGCACAGCATTGCAGAGACTTGACTGGCTAGAGTGTCACACCCGCCTATAATCTTTCAGTAGAAAATTCCTGCTACCCAAGAAGGGCTGCCACAATCACTTCTTTTTCCCTTTTTGCCATTTTTTATGACATCCTAATATTCGTTGAATACTAACTATTGTTGCTAACACTGTTCTAAGGACCTTATCTATATTAACTCATTTACTTTCCAAGATAACCCTATGAGTAGGTACCACTACCATCCTCATATTTCAAATGTAACTCTGTATATAACTACATATTTCCCCCTCAAAAGTATATCAAAAATTATCCTAAGCCCAGTATACCATATTACAGATTGCAGACTGTATACAAAGACATAAAATGATGGACCAATGTACAGGCAGTTAAACTTAGTAGTTAAGTTTGGGGGGAGTCAAAAGTTATACATGGATTTTTTATTGCACAGGGGTTCAGCACCCTTAATCCCCGTATTGTTCAAAGATCAACTGTACTAATAGCCTACTGTTGATCGGAAACCTTAAATCATAACATAAACAGTTGATTAACACATATTTTGTATGTTATATGTATTATAGTCTGCATGCTTACAATAAAGTAAGCTAGAGATAAAATGTTATTAAGAAAATCATAAGAAAAAATATATTTACAATATTTACTGAAAAAAATCCGCATATAAGTGGATCCCCACAGTGCAAGCCCGTGTTGTTCAAAGATCAACAGTATACAGTATTATGTATTTGTCTGAAAACAAAACAAAACAGTGTTTCCCCCTACAAAACTATTGGGTCGTCGGGAAAGTCATGACGCATTTTTGCATTGAAAAACATAGAAAAATACATCATGACTTTCCCGACAACCCAATACTTTAAAACTATTTAATGGCTGACCATGCTAGACTAACTGGTATCCTAAATACATGATAGAATTCAGGTTTTGGATAACAGGCAGCGAAGGACCATGATCCTGGAGAGAAAGAAAACAAATTAAGAGAGTCTGCATTCTCCTTGACCTTCTGCCTCAAAGCCCTGTCCCCATCGCAGTGCCAGGAGGCAGAATCCAAGCAGAGAACTGGCAAGTGCACAGAGGTGGACTCACTGGGTTGAGGAGTGAGGTAGGGACTGGAGTTTAGGTATTGCTAAAGTGGCTGGGGATTTTTGCTCTTGTCACCTCGGAAGAGTTACTTTAATTCTTTGAACTTAAATTTCATCATTTATAAAATAGGGGTTGTAATAATTATCTTGACTGGCTGAGGTACAGGTTAAATGTGATTTTATATGTTGTGCCCAATATATAAAAAGTGCTCACTACATTGTAGGTGCCATCTTCCTCCACCTCTTTTTCCTTGTTGTTATTTCTGCCTTCTATTCATGTAATTGTAGAATCTGCAGGTAAACTAAATACACGGAATTTAGTGGTGTTAAGCAGTAAAAAGTTAGTGGGGAGTGGGTATACTTTTAGTTGTATAAGTCATAAGTAAGTATAAACAAAATACATTTAATATTAACAAAGGTAAAACCCAAGATATTTGCTCTGAAATATTTATTTTATTTTTCTCAAAACACTATTAGTTACAACAACAACAACAACAACAACAAACTCTCACCTGGGGGAGATTAGTTTTAGAGCCTAGTATGTATTCAATTTCTGTAATATTTGTGGGGATTTAGCATGGAATTTATACTCTATGAGGCCAAGTCCAACAGGATAGGGGCAAGTATGGAAAAATGTTGATAGTTGTTAAATATGGAGAATGTAAATGTGGGGATCTTTATTCTATTTTCTGTAAGTCTATTAGGAATATTCAAAAATATCCACAAGGTAAAATGAAATTTTGTTTGATGATTAGATGACCTTATCATCTGCTAATTAATCTCTTCCCATCCTGAACTACTTATATTTCCAGCCCTTGTGACTCTGGATGACTATGAGTAGTAAGCATCAACTGTGCAGAAAAACACATT